ATTCCCAGTGAAGTCAGAAATCACAGAAGGCACTCAGTATGATGTAGGACTGGGCCCAAAAATGCTGTGTGTGTCTGTCTGTTTGTACATGTGTGTCTGACTGTCTGTCTGTAAAGGGCTATGAAAATATAAGAATCTCAGGAAGCGGACACACAAATTCAGGAAGAATTGTCATTTGCCTGTTTTCTGTCTAATGTACACAAGTATTTGATTAACATCAACAATGATAAATGTGAATCCAACGTGAAAAGCCTTAAACTACCTTAAAAACAGAATGACAAGAGTGACAAACTCTTGGAGCTAGGCACTGTAGGTATTTGTCTTGGCAGTCCAAGTGTATATCCCTACTGCTGTTTGATTTTTTTTTAAATACTACATCAGATGCTGTCCAAAGGATTATAAAACATTATTAAGTCATGTTAAACATTCTGAGACAGATTCTGTTCTGTGATGAGGCTACACTGCACTGCTAGCAAAATCTGGTCTTAAAACTGACTTAACCAGCCAAGGGGGGATTGCCCCAGGTCAAGAGTGACCTCTAGGGGTGTGGCACTTGAGTAGGAGCTCTTATGCCTCTCCCCCTTCCTGCCAATGCCAGAGCAGGAAAAAGAGTGCATGGCTAGAGGAATGGGACATACCTAATCATGCCCCTGTACTATACTAACCTTCAGCTATTTTTTCAGCCTCTCCAGGCTGCTCATATTCAGGGAGGGGGACTACCTCTGCACAAAAGAGCACCACTAACATGACCTGGTTTTGAACCAGTTGTGTAAACGTAAAAGATTTCCCATTACCTGAGGAATCTAGTTCCCCAGTATTATGCATGTTCTGGCAACAGCAAAGGAGTTATATGTTTCTTCAACAGTCTCTTATCAAATGAGTGCATGTATTACATAGTGCATATTTTCAGTGCATAGATCAGCCACACTGCTCAATGGCAGAGCAGTTAAAATAGCTGCCAACATAGCCTTTTGGTAAACCAGGCAATAAGCTTTTCAGAGACTTATCAACAAAACACTCGGAAATAAATCCTCAAGTGGGCCAAAGCTCTACCTAGTGCCCTTGCAGGGCTGGACGCAGAGGTGGCATTCAACCCCTGGCACAAACTAGAGCGACCACAGGACTGTTCTATGCCAGCTGGAATAGCCCCACAGGGGTTGTTCTGATGGCCCAGGATAATTGGTGTTCATGCCAGGCTGACTGCTTCTTGTCAATGGCACACCTATGACATACCCCATGTGCTGGGAGGGTAGAGGAAGAGCAGGTGGCGCAGAGCTGGCTATGCTGGCCTTAAGCTACTGGGTAATCCCCATGTGACGGGAATTTCCAGTTGCCTTGAATGAGGATCTGATCCCTTTGTCTAGCTTACCATTCTTATTCAAAATTAAGCAAAACAAACCTATTGAATTAACCACTGTAGCTTACATCTGACATTGTTACCACAAAATAGGAATAACACACAAATTGCTAAAGCTTAGTGAGTGAAAAACAGAATATTTGTTGTTTAATCTCATATTAAATTAGAGCAAAGCTCTTCATTTGCAGTCTCCTGGCATGTACTTCTGTTTGTGCTGACCAAAATTGGGGCATGACCTTGTATCCTGACCTTGGTTCTAAACTTCATAACAATAACAAGCAGAAATATACCTGTGAACTATAAAGCTTAATAGGATACTGTGCAACTCGTTCTGTGTGATTATTTCATTGAATTGGCATTTTGGTATTTACCCAGGAAATTCTATAACCCTACTGAAGCCAATACAGTTGCTTGCAAATAAAGTTGAGTGTATGCTAATAATGGCCAAGAAATACATTTATGTATCTCTGGTTCAGTGAAGCCTTTCCAAAAGTATATTATAAATATCACTTACAGAGAAGGTTGTCACCACACTATTATTATTTGCTGGAACTGCTGTCCATTCACAAGTCTGAATACATTTTATTGTTGAGCACAAGAACATGCATGGAAAGCAGTCGTTCTTATCTTGTTCTCCTCTCTTCAGAAATTTTCTCCCACACATGTGAGTAAACAAGCTCAGTGCCTCACAAACTTTTAAAAAAACATGTCTTACAACAAAGCTGTTTCAGACTTATATGTAAAATTCATTCAGATTGTCACACTGGCTAAAAGTGGCTGTTGTAGAATAGGATTTCATACAGTGTTACACTAAATTGCCCTAAACATAACAAATCTCTGATACAACCAATAAGTAAGTTATTTCTAGTTTTGCAAATCTAGATGTATATTAGCAAAGAGTTCTTTCTCCTTTAAAAGTTAAATGGAAACTATCTGGCTTCCATTATATTATTTCCATTACATTGGCTTCCATCACTTTCCACCACATTACCTACACAATCAAGTGACTTTAAAACAAATGTACGTTACCTGGTTATTATTATTTATTTGTACTACAGTTGTGTCTAGAGGCACTAATTGGGGAACAGAGCCATATTGTGATAGGCACTGTAAAGATAGGCAATAAAATGATCATCTTAGCCCTGAAGAGCTCACGATCTAAGTTAAGACAAAACACAGCAAACGAATGAGACAAACAAGAGAACAGGGAGGGCAACTACGTAGGGTTATACTGGGCATCTGATTTTGTTAATAATAATAATAATAATAATAATAATAAACACTTCACATGTTCAAAGTGCTATACCAACATGAAAAGCCAATTTGTGGCACTGGGAGGAGTGACTCTGTTCTGACCCTCTACATTTTGCTTTCCACATCTTCTGGAGAGTACTTCTGCCACCTTTTTCTGCACCAAAGCGCTTGGAATCACCTTACAAAGTCAAAAATAAGATTTTAAAATCAATGTAAAAGGCTGATTGGAAGTCAGTGCAGGCATCAGAGCAGGAAAGATGTGCAATGATCATTTAGAACAGCTACTGTAAATAGCCTCTCTATAATATTTTAAGCAAGTTGAAGCCTATGAACCAACTGATCAATTATTCAAATAGTAAAGCCTCATAATAGTACTCAAGGTGACTGGAGAACAAACTAGCACCTCAGTATTACTCTGGGATATAATCTGTAATGTTCTTCAAGTGACTTAAAAAAAAAGTCCTCAATAAACAGGGGCTAGTGTGAAGCAGTGGAGCTCTACTGGCTAGCGTCTGGACATGTGAGTCAGGACACCTGGGTTCTATTCCTCCCTGCCAGTTACTCTGCCAATGAGTTGCTCTATGACTTTAAGTTGCTATTCAGTGGGAGTCATAAGTGATCAGCAGTTCTGAAAATCATGCCAGTCACCTCTCTAAGCTTGAGTTTACTGTGTAGAGCTACTGGAATGGTAGTAATATAGATCTTTGTGGACTTTGGATGAAAGTTATTCTATAAGTACAAATTATTATCATTATTACAGATGCTACATGGTCACTAACATTCAAGATCTGGGTCTAAAACAGTACCAAGAGTCTTATTTTTAGAAACAAGGAGACGAGCACAAGTCTATTCCATGCCACAGAAGCAGTAGAAACTATTACATGTGTATGAGTCAACCAACATGATTTCAGTCTTGTTCAGTTCAGTTTGGGAAATCGTTGAGCCATTCAGTCCTGAACCTATGCCAGGCACTGCAACAAAACCAATGCTGCAATTGAAACATCAGGAGTGTGGGAGAGTTAGATTTCACTGTCATCGGCATATGATCTATGTGATAACATATTCATGGAAAAATGAAGCCAGAGGTAAAGTATGAACCCCACACACAGCCCTGAGGAACACTGCAATATCTTAGAAACTTGAGCAAAGCAGGAAGCAGTGGATAAAATATGATACCAAGTTGCTGCAAACCAAAGATATTAAAGATATTCTATCAAGACGTCCTGATGCACAATATCAAAAGGTGGATGACAGATCTCGGAAACCAGCAAACATTATGGCCCACAACCTGTCTAAACAAAGAAGTTATTGCAAACATTTCATTCTCCACAAAGCTTTCTCCATAGAGCGTAATCAGAATCCTTGCTAGAACTTATCATATATTTTGTCCTGCAACGAATGCACAGCTTTTCAGTGACTTCCTTTTCAAGGATGTTAGCAACAAATGGTTATTTAGAAAATGGGAGGGAATTTACAGGTTTATCAAGTTGTGCTGGGAGGTGGCTCTTACCAAAAGAGTAACATTTACTAGTATTGGGACAGTCAGGAGTCCTCCTGACAGCTTGAATTGATAGCATTTATCTCTATACCTATTCTTGTCATCAGCACTTTGGAATGATGTGTCAGCTGCTGCATTCTGAAAAATGTTGATTTCACTGAAGAGCACTCTTGCACTAGAGAGCTTTTATTGAGCCAATAACTACAGTACATCCATTAGTATACAATTGAATGAAGCACAGTATTTCAGTACCCTCCAACTGAACATAGGAATGAATAATATGGATGTCACTTGTGCCTCTCAAACATGAAGCCTATAAAATGCTGCCAATATTTGTTAAATGCCATATATTAAATCACATTGTATAGACATCGAGAGAAAACTAATGTCCCAATTATCCTTCCCCATCCCACAGCCTCCAAACCAATAACATCTCTGCACTTCATTGAGCTAAGTCAGTGATCCATTTTTCAATGAAATAACAAAGTGAGTTGAGCTGCCTTAGAATGAATCCAGCCCCTGTCCATTCTTAGGGTCAGTGAGGGAAAGACCTTTGTCTTGAACTCAACCCAGTTCAGAAAGCAGAGGCTCCCTCCCACCAGCCTCAATGGGCAAAATGATCACACAAACCTTGCCCAGCCCCAAACAAAGCAAAGGCTGTTTCCTTTTGTTACCAAGAACACATTGCTCATTTGCATGTATGTATGCATTGCCCAATCTAAGCTAAGGGGATCAGGTCATTACCCAGTGCGGATTGAACACAATAGCGATCAAACAGAATGTCTCTTTAAATCGCTATTCTCCCTCTACCCCCTCCTTCCTCTGGTTTAAAGTGCTGATGCGGGGATCTCCGCGTTTTCATCCTTTGCACTAGCAATCCAAAGCACTTACTTCTCCCCAGCCCCTCAGCTTTCCACTCAGTCTCCTCCACTGCCCCGTAGCGTCTCATTGGTTTCTCTGTCTCCATGCTGGCAGAGATGGCTCTCTTTAACTCCACGCCTGAGTGCATGGCTACTGCCTGGGCAGTCTGTGTGCATGGGGCTCCCCGGCTCACTCCCCCCGAGCCGGGGCGGCAGGGCTCCGGCTCAGCCCTTTCCTGGGCTGGACTGGAAGGCGCTGCTGAGCTCACTGCACCTCGTCGCCGGGCTGGTACCCGAGGAGGAGGAGGGGAAGGGATGCAGCGCACATGCTCAGTGCGAGGATGCTGTCTACAGAAGCGCTGGGTGAGAGCAAGGGAGAAGGGGAGGGGGAGGCAGGAAAACAATGGGAAAAAAACATGCCACGGGGGAGAGGCGGTCACTGGCTAGGGATTCTGCCACAGGCTAGGGAGGACATGGGCTGGGGATAGTATTTTCCAGGCAGGGGCACAAAGGAAGAAGACCCTTGCCTGAATATCCCATCCCCCAAGTGGTTATGGAGGAGGATGCTTCCCACTTCACAAGGAACCTCCCTCCAAAGCCTATCTCTATGGTCCTATCTCCTGCCCCCTCCCCCAAGCTGCTCTCCCCACCAGGCACTGGCTAGCTCCCCTCTCCCCTTCATATACATAACTAGCCTAACCCCCACCCTCTATCACCTTCTGTTCATGTCCACTTCAGCTCCTGATCTTTTGGAGGCAGCTGGGTTGGTCACTCTCCATTTTCATTCCTTCTAGAGGAGTAGCCAGGTAAATGCTCTGTTAGGAAACATGGAGAGTCTGACCTCATGAACATTTGCATGACCCTGGAATCCAGGTTTATGAACCCTTGACTAGAGGTTTATTCTTCAGGGCAGGGATTGTCTTTCTTTTTGTGCCTTGTGCAGTGCTGAGCACATCAGGTGCATGTTACACCTCATAAATAATAATACCATGGAGAGCTAAGCTTTACTTTCACAGTAAACCCTCCCCCCCCCATGTGCATTTCAACAGCCTCTGCAGGAGTTCTGCAGAGCTCCACGCTTTCTAGCTTCACTTTCAGCAAAAGCCAGAGGATGGCACCCAAACAAATGATGTGGTTTTGCATTTCTCATAAACATGTACGTTCACTGTCTGTGCAGTCTCCTGGGATTAGAAGAGAAGGAAATGATTATGCAGGAAGCTAATTTCCAACTGTGGCAATTATTAGTTTTATTTTATTGTGGTGGTGAGTGGGTAAAATTTTCTAACACTTCTCTTTACAATGATGTAGTGCCTTTCATCCAAAGCTCCCATAGCACTTTACTGTTAGTGGCATTACCCTCCTTGTACAGATGAGAAGCCCAGACAAAGCATAGTTAATTAATTTGCCCATTGCCACTCAGCAAGTCAGTGACAGAGTAAGGACCAGCACTGACGTCTTCTGCCTCCCCAGTCAGTGTTTTAACCACTGGACCACAATGACACTGTCTCCTTATGAACACATACATAAAAAAGCTAAGAGAGATCAAGTGACTGGTTCATGACAACTGATGGATTTCCAGTAATTCTGAGTGTTTATTTTCAATTACAGACATACAAAGGGTGTAGAAAGTGTGTGGAAGGGATTTCAAAAGATGATGGGTTTTTTGAAGTCAGAGTTGCGGGAGTTATTTTTAATTTTGGAGAGGTAGGGGCTGCACAGAAAAAGCAACATTCAAAATTGTAGCATTGAGAGAATTTCTGCCTAGTTGTGTTTCTGCTTTTCACTGAATGAAGCCAGCTAGCAAATTAGAATTATTTGGACAATATTTTAGAAGGCTTGCAGGACACCCGGCTCCTTCCCTCTAATCTGCATTCTGTGGAGATTTGCTGGGACTATTTTGGGTCCCGGACATTCTGGAATTGGTCTCAGTGACTAAGAAACGCTGAGTCCTGGCAGATTTCGGCCCTTAGTGAGAAGGAGCCCAGACAGAGCTGTGAGTCAGAAGCAGCGTAGCAGGTGGCAGCACAATGCACAGCTAACTGGGTGACTATATGACTGCCTGAGGGTGGCTATATTGACTCACTTGGAGGAATGAAGAACACAGGAGTGGGAGGAAGACAAAAGCCTATCTGGGATAGGGGCCAGGTTTGGACTAGGAGATAGAGGCTGAGTGGGGAGGAGGGCCAATATGTGGATGCATCTGAGCCCCATTTAGGTTTAATCCATCCCTTGGGTGCTTTTCATAATTGCAACCCAAATGCTTTCTTTATGTGATAAAGGAAGAGTCTAGGAAAATAATCAAATATTTTAAGATCTGAGTTTGTTAACCTGAAAGAAAAAAGGATTAGCAGTCGTAAGAAATCATGATAGTTTGAGAAATGAACTGTAGGTGACAGAGCATACCAGTCAATTAATCATATTCTGATAGTGTGTTTTCACCTGCTTATCTTTGATACATCCACATTATAACATTAGGGCTGAACCTGCAAACAGTTACACATGTGAGTATTTGAGTAGTCTCGATGAGTTCACATGCAAGCATTTGCAGGATTGAGGTCTTACTTCGGAAGAAATTAAGTTGCTTATGTTCTAGCATTTTTGCTATTGTGATATGGCATCATTTGCAGTGGAAGTAATTTCCCTGCAGCTAATGATGCCCTTGAAGGCACCTCAGAAAGATATTTACTCTTATGCCCACAAGGTTTGTTCTCTTTTACTGAATGCATCATGGGGAAAGAAACTACGAAAATCTCAGTTCATTCTAGTTATTCAGAAGTTTGAGATGTAGAAAAATACAGATGTCCTTCAGGTCTGATTTATATTTCTCTCATGAAATCATACCACCTGACTGCTTTAGTTCCCTGCCAGTTCCTAAAATGATTTATTCATCAAGTAATGTCATCAGGTGCTGTGGCTAGTCATTTGAAATTGGACAGTTTTTGTGTGTGCCAATCTATTGCCCCCTTTCCATTCAGTACATTCCAATGATCTCCTGCAGCATCCAAGACACTATATATAATGTTTGCTCTTTACTCAGAGAATGGCAGCATGCCATGTAAGTCAGGGTAGAAGAAGGTGTGTGTGAATAATCTTTGGCTTCACATAGCTGTCAGGGATCTATTGATTTTTTTTCCTTCAGGCTCCCACAGATTCCCTGCTTATGTGGGTACTAGAGACCTTGTTCTTTCCACAGGTCTCAATCCCAACTCAGTGAAGGAATGATACAGCAAAGAAACCACTGTAAGACCTCACAACAATGTAGAAGTGTTTATTTCCTTGGGGTATTTTTTCACAGGAGGGAATGGTTTGTCTCTAATTTCCCGGTCTCACAAGTGGCTGCTATAGGCAACTCACTGCTCAGGTTAATTTAATGAGATTTAGCAGAAAAGTTGGCTACACTTGTTTCATGGTTGGCCTCTTTAACGTCTGGGGAAAAAATATTCTGTTTTCATCAAGCACTTTCATTTTGGAATATGCTTAAGCTGCTGTAGGCATATCCTTCTTGAACCCAAATCTAAAACCAGCTGACAATGTTTTCCTGGATGTTTATCACAAATGCATTGAACCCCCAGTTCTGAGCTTTGGCTCAAGGGGGAAAAGTACTTCCTGGCCCATTTATGGGATAACAGATTCTGGGCCGGCTGGGGGATGATTTGAACTTTGGTGAAAACTAGAGGAGCCAGAGGGCTGCTATAATTTACACTCCGCTGTAATGGCCCACAAGAAACTTCTGTCGCTGAGAATAGCCAGATCACAGCAGCACTTTTTTCATTGCCCTTTCCCTGGGAAAGCTCCTGGCATAGCCTTATGACTAGCATAATGGGGAGAGGGAGGCGGGTCTATATTATCCTGGCAATCTGATTACACCAATGATATTCTCCAAGGGCCGGATCTGGCTAGTGCTTGGCCACCGTGGAAGCAGGAAGTAGGGTCACTGTTCTTTGTCAGACAGTGCAGTCATTCCAACATCATAAAAATAGTGGTAAAGCTTCTGCAAAGGTTTATATTTAGTCATTAAAATTTACATTTCAAAATTTGACCTAGTGAAGTAAAATGAAATTGTGGATTATATGTAAAAGTATTTTATCTTTTGCTTATATTCATGTAGACTTTACACTTCAGTGTCTGATTTTAATTTCTTGTGGGAGGAGGCCAGCAGATTTTTTTATATCCTGTCTACACTATAGCTGAAACCATGCTAGCAACAAGTTGTTGACACTGACACAATTCTACCATAGTTTCTTAGTTAGGTTGGCCAGGGATTTGTTTCCTGAGCAACTTGCTAGCCAAACCATGCTACAGAGTCTAGGATATAAAAACAAACACCCAGAGAGCTTTATAGCATTGTTCCAAAACACAGTACAGCACAGTTTACATGAAATAATTCCTGCTCATACTGGTACCATCTGCACTTGAATTTCAACCATGTCAATTCTCCCTCAATGGTTCAATTTTGTAGTGTAAAATGGACCTGCCTGTGTTTTCAGAGTGTCCATGAAGTCTGGGACATGTCCAAGTGAGCTGTAACCAGATTCCTCAACACAGATGAACGTATAGCATAGATGAACTCAATAGCCTGGGAAACTGGATCTGTGAACCAGACCGCATTAAACATAATCTCCTGTCCCCATAATGTCATGAGCTGTCTACCCAGACAAATTTACTATGTAAGGAGATTGGGGTATAATACTTCAGTGCCCCCAATGACATTATAACACAGTTTGATCTTGCCAGTGTATATGATACCAGTCATGTCATTGATTCATGTTACTGCCCTATAAAAATCAGGGCTCTTCCTCTCTTTGTTTCTGATATTGTGTGTATCACATTTTCTTTTAAAATGTATAATATTAGGCAAAAGTAAATTTTATTTGTTTCTTCAGAGTATATAAATCCTAATTAAAAATAGAGGGGCAAGAGGTAGCTTAGTATCTTTTTGCAGTTTATAACTATGTTCAGTTATGTGCTGTCATGAAAGAACTCTTAGAGGCACTGATCCCCTTGCACATCATGGGAGTCCACAGGGATGCAGGAGTCTGCTCTAGCACAGAGGTTCTCAAACTGGGGGTCGTGATCCCTCAGGGTGTCTCAAGGTTATTACTTGGTCGGGTGACCAGACAGCAAGTGGGAAAAATCAGGACAGGGGGTGAAGGGTAATAGGAGCCTATATAAGACAAAGCCCCAAATCTCGGGACTGTCCCTATAAAATCAGGACATCTGGCCACCCTATTACTTGGGGGGGGGGGTCGCGAGTTGTCAGCCTCCACTCCCAAACCCCACTTCATCTCCAGCATTCATAATAGTGTTAAATATTTTTAAAAGTGTTTTTAATTTATAA